TTAATTATTCACACAATACATGTATATATATATCTTTATCAGTGCGTTTACTTGAGAAGGAATGCATCTCAAAGCTTTTTTTTTTCTCACAATGGTTAGATTTTAACAAGTTCCCTTACTTAATTATTCACACAATACATGTATATATATATCTTTATCAGTGCGTTAACTTGAGAAAGAATGCATCTCAAAGCTTTTTTTTTCTCACAATGGTTAGATTTTAACAAGTTCCCTTACCAAAATAACAGAACGATCATATAATTACTTTTGATAAGACTCCATTCCGGCTTTAATTAGCTTTCCTAATAATACTTATCTAACTCGGAGGAACTGCAAAACGACATTAACAAACTGGCTACAATGATAAAATACAACAACAGTAGTTGACGTTAGCAGAGTACATCGGAGGAACTGCAAAACGACATTAACAAACTGGCTACAATGATAAGATACAACAACAGTAGTTGACGATAGCAGAGTACATCGGAGGAACTGCAAAACGACATTAACAAACTGGCTACAATGATAAGATACAACAACAGTAGTTGACGATAGCAGAGTACATCGGCAACATGTTGTACTGTTGTGATGATACCCTGGCAACGTGTGTAGTTACTATCATTTATGAGCTTACCACATTTTAGCTAACTTAATAGATCAAGACAATTTTATACAAAATGTTGAATATTTCTCAACAACATCTTTGATGTTTCTATTTCTGATAAAAGCATTACAAGCTTGATGTATTTAAAATCTAATGAATGAAACACTGGCTTTGCCGTTCATATTGGCATTCAATATATTAGAAACTTACAGCTGTATACTAGGTTTTCAAATAACCAGTAGACTGTGTTGCTAATTTTTCTCGGACAATTATGTTAAGTGGGAATAATCTCAAACCTCCAATCACAGTAGGACTGGGCCACTGGGATAATTCCCAGGGATCTGGCAAGTCATCAGAATAAATATGAGATTTATTTTTACAAAAGCTATTTAAATTGGGCTTTAACGCCTAAAATCAGAGCATAGAAGAGCAATACATAGGTAATTACATTATAATTAAGAAATTCCTTTTGTGTGAGGTGGTTTTAATTCATGTAATTTTGTGGTCAAACAGGTCTATATTTTGATAAGATGAGTACTAAATGTAATCAACTTACAAGTTATTAGTTTACCTTCACAATCCATGGGGAATACCTTACAAGTTATTAGTTTACCTTCACAATCCATGGGGAATACCTTACATGTCTTTAGTTTACCTTCACAATCCATGGGGAATACCTTACAAGTTATTATTTACCTTCACAATCCATGGGGAATACCTTACACGTTATTATTTACCTTCACAATCCATGGGAAATACCTTACACGGCTTTAGTTTACCTTCACAATCCATGGGGAATACCTTACACGGCTTTAGTTTACCTTCACAATCCATGGGGAATACCTTACAAGTTATTAGTTTACTTTCACAATCCATGGGGAATACCTTACATGTCTTTAGTTTACCTTCACAATCCATGGGGAATACCTTACATGTCTTTAGTTTACCTTCACAATCCATGGGGAATACCTTACATATCTTTAGTTTACCTTCACAATCCATGGGGAATACCTTACATGTCTTTAGTTTACCTTCATAATCCATGGGGAATACCTCACATGTTATTATTTACTTTCACAATCCATGGGGAATACCTTACACGTTATTATTTACCTTCACAATCCATGGGGAATACCTTACACGTTATTATTTACCTTCACAATCCATGGGGAATACCTTACACATTATTATTTACCTTCACAATCCATGGGGAATACCTTACATGTCTTTACCTTCACAATCTATGGGGAATACCTTACATGTCTTTACCTTCCATAACAAAGCATATCTTACATGTTTATTAACTTACCTTCGTAATGCACATTTCCCTGAGAGTCCTCTTGACCAGTCAGCAGCTGCTCAACCTCGTCATCAGTAAGTTTTTCACCTAAAACAAAAAGATTACATTCACATAAGGTTCTTAAAGTATTGTACACTATCTGACTAATGTCTCATATAAGCTCTTGATCTACAGGATTTATAACGTTTATAATATTACTCTTAGCTCACAATATCAGTGATAGAAATATTCGCAATAATGTGGAGAAAAAGACTAAGGATGCTAAAATACCAGGGGAGTCTCAAACTGAATCAAATGTTGACCCCTACGTGCGACACGTGCTATGCTACTGATCTTTATTAAACTTGGAAGACCCTCCTAGGGCACCCTGGGAAGTGTCATAAGGGGTCAGTGTTTGGATCTGGTCCCCTTTGACAACCCATGGAAGCCACTAGTGTTCCCCATACTATTCTATATATCTCTACTAAACATTGAAGGTGCCCCAAGTCAGCATTTCTCAACTGCCAGTCCGTCACAACTGCCTTGCTGGCCCATGGGATTACACAAAAACAAACAAAAGGTTTCTCATCATACTTGTATTTTAGTGGTCTGTGACAGTTTGGGGAGGTAACAAACTGGTCCCTGGTATCAAAAATGTTGTGAAACCAAGAGTACTCTGGGAAGTGAAAGAGGAGCTGTATGTTTGGATCTGGACCCTAGCAGTACCTATATCTTCCCTGTGTAATGATGGTTCTGTCAGCTGGTCAAATACTACTGCTGGGATATTCATTCAATATCATCTGAATAATAAAGGCAAAACAGAATACAAACTTACTAGAGTGAACAAAAAGATTATACAGAATGAACACAAGATTCTCTCCCTCTGCAAGTGTGAAACTGCAGGATTGACAACATCAGTAGTTCTGTTCTGCCATTTGACAGTGATGCCAGCAGGTGGTAAACCGTTATAAGAATAATTAAACGGTCGAAGCTGGAGATGGCCGACAAGAGTCCATTGACCTCCTTCTTTTAAGCACAGTGAAATATTCATCATGTAAACCTCAGTAGAGTCCAAGATCAATTATTCCCTGTGCCTTTACACAGACTTTAAGAAACTTGTCTAATTTATAACTACACTCCACTTCTTGTGTTGCTGGCTTCATTGTATCTGAACCCTACAGTTACCTTAACAACTGAAGTTCAAACTACGTGTCAATTCAGGTGATGTTTAGAACATCATCATGTCTGGCATGCATCTTTGTCAATGCCACAAAGTTTCCAGGTGCACTTAAGTTCTCACGATCCCCTCAAAAAAGCCATGCACTGCTGCCCACAGAACACCACACGTTCGAGCCCAGAACCTAAATATGTGCCTGTTCTCCTTGATATTCTGCTATCTGTTTTGTATCGACCATTAACAAGGTGGTTGTCTGTGAGGTCTCCACACTCTCAATGAAAGTAAAAACTGATTGTTTGGTTGTCTGTAAGGTCTCCACACTCTCAATGAATGTAAAAGCTGATTGTTTGGTTGTCTGTGAGGTCTGCACATTCTCAATGAATGTAAAAGCTGATTGTTTGGCTTCTTCAAATGATGAACTTGCTGCATGCATCCCAACAACTTCACTCTTGTGACGACACTTTGTTCACGAGTGCACCCGTTTCCTTTCTGTCTTCAATACATCTCCAAAACACACCATTGTTTGGTGCTATAGGCATCCATTTTGGTGTTGTAACCTCCAAGGAGATGGGTTAGATATAAATGTCTTGACCTGATGGATAAGATATAAATGTCCTGACCTGCTGGGTTAGATATAAATGTCTTGACATGCTGGGTTAGATATAAATGTCTTGACCTGCTGGGTTAGATATAAATGTCTTGACCTGATGGGTTAGATATAGATGTCTTGACCTGATGGGTTAGATATAGATGTCTTGACCTGTTGGATTAGATATAAATGTCTTGACCTGTTGGATTAGATATAAATGTCTTGATCTGATGGGTTAGATACAAATGTCTTGACCTGATGGGTTAGATATAAATGTCTTGACCTGCTGGGTTAGATAAAATACATCACTGAGTTAAACTGTAATTAATGTTGAAACATAATACATCACGGATAGTCCTTACAAAGTTAAACTGTAATTAATGTTGAAACATAATACATCACTGATTGTCCTTACAAAGTTAAACTGTAATTAATGTTGAAACATAATACATCACTGATAGTCTTTACAAAGTTAAACTGTAATTAATGTTGAAACAAAATACATCACATGTGCAAGGAGCAAGTGGATATAATAGCCCATCAGGTCAAGACATTTATGTTTCAACATTAATTACAGTTTAACTTTGTAAGGACTATCAGTGATGTATTATGTTTCAACATTAATTACAGTTTAACTTTGAAAGGACTATCAGTGATGTATTTTGTTTCAACGTTAATTACAGTTTAACTTTGAAAGGACTATCAGTGATGTATTTTGTTTCAACGTTAATTACAGTTTTGCTTTGTAAGGACTATCAGTGATGTATTTTGTTTCAACGTTAATTACAGTTTTGCTTTGTAAGGACTATCAGTGATTTATTTTGTTTCAACATTAATTACAGTTTAACTTTGTAAGGACTATCAGTGATTTATTTTGTTTCAACATTAATTACAGTTTAACTTTGTAAGGACTATCAGTGATTTTACAGGTACTTCTTGTTCAGTTTTTAAAACACTCGTTCTTTGAAAGTTCTCTTTCAATGAGAACAACACACTTCTTACCAAGTGTTGTTAAAAGATGTCTTAGCTCTGCTGAACCAATGTAGCCGTTACCATCTTTATCAAAATGTCGAAGTCCTTCAATAAAATCTTCTGCTGTATCCGAGCTACGGTTTTTACTTACAGCCTGCATCATCGGAAGAAACACTTCAAATGTGATTCGCTCATCTACAGAAATATAAAAATAATATCAGAAACAGATTAAAGTTACGTATAACAAGTGTTTTGCTTAGGAAGAGTTCATAAAAATAATCTTTGTGAAATTTTCTGAAAATTTAAAAAGTTTTTTTTTCTTAAATCCTTCAATGCTAACTGAAATAAATGTGATTTGTTTAAATCATACAAACCCGTTTACTGCAGTGTCACAAGTATTATATGAAATATGTGTAAGTTCATCCTAGTATAAAAAGTCTGTTACACAACATCATGAAAATGAACAAAAATAGTGTTCCAGCAACTTTCTAAACAAAAAACAATGTACACCTGGTATTTTTACAGTTCACTGAAAGACTTTTTTTTTTCTATCCTTTCCCACACTCATTAGTTTGACACCTTTTGTTTATTTTTTGTAGGTCGTTTACATCACATATCAGTAGTTGTCAACTGCCATTTTGTGCATCAGTCTACAGGGAGATGTTGCAAAATATTTGAAAGACAAATATGTTTTAATAATACAGTTACTGAAGCTTATTGTTTTACACTGTGATTTTAAAGTACTCTAAAAATACTGTATGAAGCAGTCTGTGAAATCTTTGGATTCTGACCGAGTTAGTCCTCAGCTGGAAAAAGGTTGGAAATCACTGGTATGGATAACTCTGCTTCATGCTCGATAATAACAGTTCAATATCATTACTAAACTAAGTAAAATCTCAACAGTTGGAACTAGTTCAATAAGGATGTATTCTGTATCGTAAATAATGAAATAAGTTAGTTAAAACAACTGTCAAAATTATGTTCGAAAATTAATCTCTTAACTAATTTCTTCACATAAAACATGTCTAATTTGGTGAATTTCTTTGAAATTCAATATTTTTTTGGGGGATAATTATCCATAGCAGTTTCTAGTGTAAAAATTATATCAGAAAGCTATTTTTATGTCAAGTTCTTGAAGATTTATGTGGGGATCAGTTTTTATCGACTCTCTGGAACAAATAAGCTCACTTTGTTTATAAAGTTGCAAAATCACTTGGATTACACGAATCATGTTTTAATCTTTCTGTAAAAAAATAAAAACATACAACAGTTTACAGTTACCTGCAGAGCAGTTACGAACCAGAATACTTTCTTTACGTAATCTTAATTCATATTAGCATTTTTGGTTTCACTAAAGCTTCAGATAAGTATACAAAATAAAGTTGTTTAGTTATAATCTGTACATGTTTCTCGACAGAACATAAACAAATTTGCTAATTTTTTTTTAAAAGATTAGCAAAATCTTTTGGATTTTTATATCATCTTTACAAGAATAACTTACCAGTAAAAAAAAGAAAAGAAGAATCTAAAATTTTACAGAAACTGGAAATTGTTCAAAGTGACTTCAATGCCAAACTTAAAAGTGTAGTTGTTCCAGAAAAAAAATTAACTTACCAAAATATTATCACTTCTAATAAAAGTTAAACATATTTTTAAAAATATGTTATAAATCTACTAAGTTTCACTAAAGTCCTTCAAATGAATATGACATGATAAATGTCAAGTAACGGGGAAAAATAAAAAGGATGCTGTCATAAGGAAAATCCAACTTTTTCCCTTTTAGTTCGTTAGTTTTTCTGTAATTAATTTCAATTTTATAAAGAAATAAAACTGATGATAAGTAACTAGAATCTTTTTTGATACAAGCACCTCAAGTATATGTACATTGCTTGAGGGAAGATCAAGAAAAAGTATAGATAAGGTAATGTTAAAATGTAGTTTATTATCAGATGTCTTTTAATATTTCATGTAGGCTACTGAAAACAATGATAATTCCCTATTTTGTAGCCTTTACACTGTAATAGTTTAATTAATAAAACGTTTATTTTAATCAAAAAGTATGCACTCTTGTCAAATCATGTGTAGTTTCATTTTGGATTGTATGTTTTAATATCGATCGGAGCAGTGAAGTTTATTACTGTAGTTCGACACATATTGGATATATCTTTGTAAAGAGCAAACAGACAAAAAAAATCTAAGTCCAATTTTACATTAATTGAAGAATAAGGAATATCAATGTTTGAAAACAAAAGTTGATTGGAGTCTTTCACTAGCATTAAACAATACAACTGTTTTTTTCTTTTCATTAGAATCATTTGATTTTGACTTACTGTGAAAGTTGAATATCATATCGGAATGATATAACAAAATTTATGGACTCGGGTGTAACATGGAAAGCTGCCTCTAATTATACGAGTTTACCAAAAATATTCAATCAACATAAAAACCTAATTTAATTTTTTCATTATCTACCTGGTTGAGGAAGCTTGTCTTGTAACCCACTCATATATTAAGTGTATCCTTAAGTGGAAGAATGTCTTCAAAATAGATGACGGCATTTGCCATACCGTTGATTAATGGACTTACCGCAACATTTTTATTCCCAGAACTTGATGTCCTAATTTCAAGGTTTTCACTCCATTACTCATAAGTACAGTACTTTACAAAGAGTGGGAGTTAAACGAAAATGTTACACATTGTATCTTATAAACTAATCTAAATTAAGTAAAAATGTTTCTCTACTGTGAACCAAAAGTTTCTACCATAACTTTCTCTATTCTGCACACAGTTTTAGAAAGACACCTTTTTTTTTCAGTTTTTTGACTATTTTTTTTTAAGATATTACATTTGATATTACTGATTTCAGTACATTTATTTCTGTAGAATTTATTCAAAAACCATTATTGTGGGCTTAAATAAGGTTTAAGAGAGACAACATAAAAATTAACTAACTAAAGATTAATTGATGTATGAACCTCTGACTTGCCTCACTGAGGAAAAAAATGGTTTCTATAAGATTTAGCTTACCTGACTTTAACTGATGGGAGCATTTTTTAACTTCAGCTTCTGTGGGGTTCTGACCCATGGCACGGAATGCGTCTCCAAGCTGAGAGATGCTGATCTTCCCATCTCCTCGATTGTCGAACAAGGAGAAGGCATCCTGGAAATCTAGAAAAGTGTGCATCAAATTCTTCAGAAATCTCACTCAAAGCACACCGAAAGTGATATATTTCAACGAACAAGTCTCGTCAGTCAAATTATTATATCTACACCTTAAAAAATACAGTTATTATATTGGCACATTTAAAGTTACCTTGTTACTTTTTTTAATGAGAAATACACAAACTGTGTGCATATGTAACACTGGGTGGTGGTATCTGTCGTCGATCCGGCCTGTTACAGCAAGAGCTAGTGTTGCAATATTCACACATCTCGGCTGATTGTGTTTCTAATAATATTAATAAAGTGTAGTACTCTGGGTAGTTTCTCTACTTTCCTAATAGCAGGGACCAGCTTACTGCCTCCCTAAACTGTCACTAAAATGTAAGTACAATTGAACATCATTACGATCTACAAGTAAATATTCTGTATGTTTTTGTGAAATCCCAATGACTGATGTCAGTCTATGAATTTGATCTAGGTAATAGTTACATGAGCTGTAGAATTCTAACTCATTGAACAGAATGTACCTCTGAGGTTTGCATGTATCCTTCCACCTTTAAAAAAAAGGTTTTACTAAAATATCATTACACTAAAATCACAAAAATAACCTAAACAGTATTTTTGTACATTCTTAAAAAATCAAAAGAATTCTTTTTTCTTACACAAGCGAGATGGTAATTTCATTAGGGAAAAATTACATAAAAGTTAAAACCTAAATCGAAATAAAAATGACCGAGAGTAGGAAATAAAACGTAAAGCTGATTTAGTTGCATCACTCTATGATTAACTTTCTCTAACTTAACTGACACATCTTCTGCTAACATGACAAAAATTATTTCATTTCCTAATTTTTGTAATAAATATTTTGAATACTAGCTTTTTAAACTTCATTTTTAGGTCATATTTTCAATGAACTTACTTTTCTGATACTAAAGTCTTAAGAAATTTGATACATACCAATAATTTGGTCCTCGCTAAAACCAGCCTGTAAAATAAAAACAGATTCAGCAAGTTTCATTGTATAATGTATGTTTATTTTGCAACAGAACATCAGGATGATGGAAAATCAGATAGTGAAATGTTAAAACCCTTAAATATTTCCTAGAAAGAGTTATTGAACAGAGATAGTACACATGTTCAAGAAACATGGATGTGTTGATCATTTAGCTCATATATAACATAACTATTTTTTTTAACCAGTGTACATAAATGTAAATAAAGCAAAGGAGTTTGATTCTCTAGCTAGTAATATCCTCAATGATACATTAATTTGAAACAACTTTGTAGTTAAGTAAACTTCAACATCGAGAATGACTAGTTAGAAGCAGTGGTGGATCCAGAACGAATTTAGAAGTGATAAACTAGATGGAAGGCAATGCCACCCACTCTTTGGCTACTCTTTATCAATGAACAGTTGGATTGATCTTCACATTACAATGCCCCCATAGCTGAAAGAGTTGGCACATTTGGTGAAGGGTCTAACCACCAGGGTTATGAATGGACACATTAATGGTTTTAAAATATCAACAGATGAAAATATTTGTGTGGGCATATATATATACACACACACACACACACATACATACATAGAGAGTGAGAGATAGCATGTTTGTGTAGTTTCTTTTGGAAGGGGTAAAACGAGGACAATTATGAAGGACTATGAAAATGGTTTCTAATTACAAGATCTTGACCAGTGTTCCCTCTAAGATGCCAACTGCCCAACAACCAATCAAGCGCCACATACTTCATTATTCCAGCCACGCACATCCTCAGTAATGGTGATAAGTCTTAACATGTTGATGGCCTTAATGGCCCTGGCAGTCGATAGGCCTAAAGCCCAAATAATCAATTGGTAGCATTGCAAAGCAGCCTGATGATCCAATAGGATCGATGGTCTAAAAATACCTAAAAATTAATTCCACACTTATATATCTTCATTTAATGATAAAAACCATAGTTTTTGGCTTTTCTTTACATATAGACGCTTTATACATTAAGAACGACTGAAATAATAATTTGAGTAATAATTAATATGTAATAGTTACTTTATAGAT